ACAGGAAGGAAAGGTGCTGACCAGATTGGAGCCAACAGTGACTGTTGCATGGGTCCCAGTCTGTCTTTCTCTCAGTGGAACAGGCCGTACTTCCTGCTCACTCTGAGCTATCTAATCTGGGGTCATCTTGCCGTTTATGGGGAGTGGGTGGATGTTGCCATCAGGACACACATAATGGTTCTCTACTGCCCAGTGGGCAGACTAAGACTCCATTATTTCATCATAAAATTATAAAACAAGGATGGGGCTGTACACATTTTTTTTTTTTCCCGAGACAGGGTTTCTCTGTGTAGCTTTGGAGCCTGTCCTGGAACTCACTCTGTAGCCCAGGATGACCTGGAACTCACAAAGATCCACCTGCCTCTGCCTCCCAAGTGCTGGGATTAAAGGTGTGAGCCACCACTGCCCGGCTATACATACACATTCCTTTAAAACATGTTCATATTTCAGATTCTGCCTGCAAAAGTTTTTCCAAAATTCATAAAATATAAACATTTCAAGATGGGAAAAAAAGGGCAGTAAAGAAAACAAACAATAAACTGTTTGACTGCTACACCAGTACGGTATCTGAACTGTCTCAGAGCTGACCTGCTTTTTCTAAAATTAAAGTATTGCCCCACTGTCAAAGAAAAACGGTTGCCTAATACTTGCCTTCCTGCCAGGGATGACAGAGCAGCCCGGGTCTGGTGAAAACAATTTAGGGGACCAATGACCTCATCTCGAACTCTGACCAATAGGGCTATCTCCTGCAAATCCCTTCCTGGGGAACTCTCTCCAGCCTCACCTCCCCATCATATACTTCTCACATCTGCCTTGGTTGTGCTCTACCAGGCGTCCTCCTGGCCCTGAATCTCTTTAAGGACGGGAGGGAAGAAAACCTCAGTGTAAACCTGTGGTCCACTTCTCTCTCTTCCACATAGTGTCTACCAGAGATAATACGTCTGCTTCTGGAGACTTCTGCTGGCAATCCTCAAGTGAGAGCAACTTTACAATGTCTGGAGACATGTGAGTTTGTCCACCATCTTGCAAAGAATCACCCAATACAAACTGCCACAGGCTGGGTCTGCAGCTCACTCAGATTGATTCAGTATTATGGTTTTTTGTTTATTTTTGAGACACGCTTTCACTATATAGCCCAGGCTAGCCATGAACTAGTAACAGCATCTTCCTGCCTCAGCCAGTGAGTGCCAGGATTACTGGTGTGAGCCACCAAGCCTGGCTACATTTCTTCCTCTGGCCTAGTACAGAATCAAAAGCCAGATCCTTGGGAATTCACCCTGATTCTAGCTTCAGGCTCAGCTCGTCCTGTCACCTTTATGCCTGACTGCCCAAGCTCAAGACATCCGACAGAGTCCAGAGCTTTGATTCAAAAAACATTTTATGGTTTTGTTTTTCCTTTCATTTTGACATGTTTCTCTACAATGGTAGGCTGCTTTTGAACTCCTGGACTTAAGCAATCCTCCAGACTCAGATCCCTGAGTGCCAGGACAACAGGCACATGCAACCATTGTGTCCAGTCCCTTTTTATTGTTTTAAAAATAGATAAAAAACCCCACAAATATGGTAGTATTTAAAAATAACAGGCTTCCCAGTTAAAAAACAAGCTTAAAAAAAACAAAACAAAACAAAAGACAAACTGATTTGGGGCTGAGGAAGCTACTTGATGGCAGAGCACTGGCCTGGTCCCTTGAGACCCCAGAGCCAATCCCCAGCACTTAAAAAAAAAGGTGAAATAATAAATAAACAAAAAAACGCCAAGCCAAAAGCTGGTTTGGAATCCCACTCTAGTCACTAGGGGACCTTGAACAACCCACTAACATCTTCGCTTCTGCTTCTTCCTTGGTTTGTTGTCCAGATTGACATGAAGTTGGAACAGCAAAGGCGGCATCACCTGGAAGCTATGACAGTACTGCCACTGTGTCTACACCACACACGCCTCAGCTGCTGCGGAGACTTACACTAATCGGAGAGCATCGTCCTATGTAGCTGTGTGTCTGACATCTGTGAGGACCTCTGACTCGCTGCAAGTTCAGGTGAGTTTTTCAGACCTTCACGTTCACTGGGAAAGTCAACTTACCCAAAAGAGAGGAACAGAGAACTTCATCTCCTTACTGTGATTTCAAGCTTTCTTTTGAAATGGGTACTCACTGTGTTGCCCAGGCTGCCCTCAGACTCACCTCAAGCAATCCTCCTGCCTCAGGCTCCCAAGTGCTGGAATTATAGGTATGTTCCACTCTGCCGCCTCGTTTTCTGCATGGTTTTGATTTTGCTATATGTACTACTGACGTGTGTGCCATGCCGGGCTTAAGTCAGTTAAGTTCAGATGACGAGCATTCTAATCTCTCTTAGCCAAACACAACTGTCCTCCATTCACAAACTGAAAACTCCCCGGACAGGTTCCCTGAGCAGCCAACTCCTGCAAGCAGTGCAGGCCACACAAAGCACTTACTTGTTCCACGTAATGAAAGTGGCTCTCTGCGTGGACATGCCAAGACCAACAATCTGACTCATCTGTACTCCTGCAGCTAAAGGTAAAGACAGATAAGACATGTTAAAAGCCAGTGAGGTTGAACTGTGTAACAACACGGTACGGAATCTCTAACCAGGATGTCTGAGCTTAATAAGCAAAGTCTTCCTAAGATAAATTTTGCATTATTTTTACTTAAAAGGAAAAAAAGATATTGTAATAATAATAATAATAATAATAATAATAATAATAAACAGCGCCCTTTTGAATGTTTAAATGACACAGAAAAACAAATACTGTTTCAGTCACACTCTGGCTTTTTTTTCCCCCTGATAATCCTAAAAACCTGGATCTTAGTTAGGCAATAACCAATTACAACAGAAGCTGCCTGATGCTGCTGAATGGAAATCCCCAGGGAATTAGTGTAACTGCTGAAGTTGAGATCATATTTTTCAACACTAACAGATGTTAAGTATAAAAATAAAAACATGAATTTTCTTTTTGTTTGCTTTGTTCTTCTGAGACAGGTCTAATTCTGTAGCCCAGGCTGGCCCGGAATAGATTACCTAGCCCTACAGCAATACTCTTGCCCGGCAACCTGAGTGCTGGGAGTAGGTCGTGGACCTCCACACTCAGTTAACATTATGGCTTTGGTTGTTGTTACTTTGTTATTACTTTGTAAAGATTTATTTTTATCCATCTCTGTGTGTATGCGCATGTGTGCAGGTGCCTGAGGAGGCCCAGGGGGGATCTGTCAACCCCAGGACAGGCAGTCGTGAGCCACCCAACATGGGTGCTGTGAACTGAACTCGGGTCCTCTGGAGGAATAGTCAGCACTCAGCTGTTGTTTTGTTATGAAGGGGGGGCGGGAGGTTATGATGGGGGGGTACATGCCATGGTACATATCTCTCTCCTTCAACCTCTCCACGGGTTCCAGGGACCAAACTTAGGTCGCCAGGCTTGCATGTGGCAAGTGCTTTTACCCACGAAGACATCGCACCATCCCTAAACAGTTTTTAAATTTTTTGTTTGCCTTTTGTCCTGCCGGGAATAGAAGCCATGGCCTCACACATGCTGGGCAAACACCGTATGCCACCCAGCTACCTCACAAGACCAAAACCTGAGCTTTTTGAATCAAATTTCCTAAAATACAGAAATGGGGTTTTTGTTTGGTTTTGTTTTGAGACTGGATCTCACTATGTAGCTCTGGCTGGCCCGGAACACACACTGTAGACCAGTGGCCTTGAAGCCACACAGATCAACCTGCCTCTGCCTCCTGAGATAGAAATGTGGTTTTTTGTAATGTCCTTTTTCTTTGCAACTAGGTTTCATTATGTAGTACAAGCTGGCCTCGATTTTCTTAACCTCCCCAGCGTTGGGATTCCGTGGCATGTCACCACAGTTCAGCTTGTAATATTCTTTTTTACGTGAGTACTGAGAAAAATGTATCACCTCCTATACATTATTTCTTCCAAAAATGTTTAACCTGAATCTAATCATGAGGAATCAGACAACTCAAAATGAGTAATGGTCTACTACACTGGCCTGTCCTTTTGAAAAAGGTCAATGAAAAAGGGTTAGAGAGATGGCTCAGTGATTAAGAACACAGTTGCGCTTGTGGAAGACCCGGGTTCGATTCCCAGCACTCACAGGGAGACTTACAACTTGAGTCTATAATTCCAGTTCCAGGGAATGCTTCAGGCCTCCACAAGCACCAGGCACAGACTTGGTGTACAGACATACATGAAGGTAAAACACCCATACAAATAAAATAAAAATAAATACATCCTTTAAAAAAAATGTAACTGCCGGGCGGCAGTGGCACATGCCTTTAATCCTAGCACTAGGGAGGCAGAGCCAGGCGGATCTCTGTGAGTTCGAGGCCAGCATGGTCTACAGAGCGAGATACAGGACAGGCACCAAAACTACACATAGAAACCCTATCTCAAAATAAAAAAAAAAAAGTAACTGTCAATCTCAAAAAGAGTGTGTGCCAGATGACAGAACAGACCAATAGCTACATGAAATGCCTCAAATGCTTGGTTTCCAGACTGAAAATAAAGTAATCTTTTTGCTTTGTTTTTCAAGACAGGGTTTCTCTGTGTAATAGCTCTGACTATCCTAGAACTTACTTTGTAGAACTAGGCTAGCCTCTAACTCATAGAGATCCGCTTGCTTCTGCCTCCCAAGTGCTGGGATTAAGAGTGTGTACCACCACCACCTGGCTAAGGTTACCTTTTAAGAGAATCCTGAAGAGTGAGTACTAGAAAGTAGTTTTAATGTGTATTCCTACGGAATGTGAGGACTGTATGTTAGTCACAAAGGAGGCACCCCTATCCTATGGGATCATCTTGTAATGTTCAGGTGTGACAGCTTACATCACAACTGGCCAAAGAGCTCAGAAAGGGGACTTTGCATAGAACGATAAACAAAGCAAAACTATGTTTCTATATCACACTGGTTAGTCTGTCGATTTAACACAGCTCGAGTCACCTAAGAAAGAAAGAACTTCAACTGAGAAATGCCTGCATCAGATCGGCCTGAAGGCAAACCTGTGGGGCATTTCCTTGATCAATGATTCATGTGGGATGATCCAGGCCACTGTGGGTGGTACTCTTCCCTGGGCTGGTGTTTTGGGTGTTTAGGGCAAGATGAACAAACCAGTAAGCAGTACCCCACCATGGCCTCTGTTTCAGTTCCTGCCTCCAGGTTCCTGCCTTGAGTTCCTGCCCTGAGTTCCCTGAATGATGATGGATGGACTTCCAAGCTGTAAGATGAAATAAACTCTTCCTCCCCAAGTTGATTTGGGTCAGAGTGTTTAATAACATTACTAACAACCTAACTGACAGTCTAGCAGAGGAGTATACACATGTTCACTGTACAGCCCTTGCCAAGACCAAAAGCAGGGCATTATGCTAAGTACATTTTCTACCACTGAGCTATCCATCAACCCTTTATTCTTGCAATTGGTAAAATGAATTCTGAAATAGTAAAAACTGAAAAGACAAATAGGCAAAACAATCCAGTCCCCCCAAATTTGCAGCGTTCTTAAACATTACACTAAACACAGTTGTTTACCTTCTTCCTTCTTTAAAAAGAAATTACATATACGTGTGTGAGTGCGAACGCACTACCTGCAGAGCCACACGGGCCCAAACTCCTGGAGCTGGAGTTCCAGCTGTGGTAAGCCACGGATGTTGGTGCTGAGAAGCCAAGTTAGGGCCTCTGAAAGAGCAGCAAGGACTCCTAACAACTGAACCATCTCTAATCGGTGTGGTCATATATTTGTAATCTAAGAAATAAAGCTTGCCTGAAGATCAGAGGACAGAACCAGCCACAGAGTTAGCCACAGAGGCCAGGCATGGTGGCACACACCTTGAATCCCAGCACTTGGGATCACACACCTTTAATCCCAGCACTAGGAAGGTTGAGACAGGAAGTGATATGGCTGGGCAGAGAAAGGAATATAAGGCGGGAGGAGACAGGAATTTGCTCTCCTGCAGAGGCTCTGTCAGGCTGAGGGGTTGGTGAGGTAAGAGGTGGTGGCTGTGGCTTGCTCTGCTTCTCTGATCTCTCAGCTTTCACCCTGATACCTGGCTCCAAGTTTTTTACTATAAGACCATTTAGGATTCGTGCAACAAATGGTCTTCTTTTTCTTTTTCAAGACAGGATCTCCTAAGTAGCTCAAGTTGACTCAAGCGTTACAATGGGCATGTGACCCCAGCACATTGCACCAAGGGACCATGCATGCAGGAAAAACCAGTTATCTTGCAATAAAGGTCAACGGGTTGTGGACTGGTGAAGACAGAACAGTGCATGGTAATGGTTTCCAATCCCCTGGATGCTGCAGCCACCAGGAAACCGGATGAGCCCTAGCTGTAACCTGGGGCATTTATTTATCCTATAGTGGAAAGGGGGCAAACTGAGACAGGGCTGCTGTTACTTTTCCTTGACAACGTAGTTAACTGTAAACCATAAATCTTCCAGCAAAACACTGGGAAACTAACACCTCCTCCAATATATTTTATATATACTTTACATATATAAAATCATATATATGTGATAACATAAATGATATATAATATGAAGACCATATATAAAATGATACTCTGATAAATAATATATAATATATATGTGTTTATATATATTTGTATGTATATGTTTATATGTATCATATGTGATAAATAGAAAAGACTATATATATAAGTTTGTGTATATTTTGTATATATATTATAAATAGCAATCCACAAAATTCTCCCCAAATCTGAGGAAAACTCATCAGGAAAGAGTCCACTGCAGACTACAGTCTTTTTGTAAATCCCGTACCTTTGACAGCATCTTTTATTACGGTGACAAACTGAACCCAGAGAGCATCAGGATCGATTTCAACCCAGCCAGGCTGAGGGTACACATTTTCCACCTAGTCGTGAAAACAGAAGGGTTAGTGAGTGGAACCAGACCAAGCTGACCATAGCTGCATCTCAAGACTGCTGGTTAAAATAAGTAACATAATTGCATTTAATTATTTTTTACTGTTCAAAAAGAGAGTTAGGTATAGCTCAACACTGGTATGTGCAAAACCATGGGTTCCTTCTCCACCTCACCCCCAAATGCTGGAAAGGAAGTCCATGAGTGAAATAGAAAGCTGTCTATCAATACCAACACATTACTCACACACTTACAGAGGGGTTTACACTTTTTTTAGCTTTACATTCACTCTTCAAGATTTCTACAGTGAAGGTGTTTTGTAATGAAGATACAAAAGATTTCTTTAAACGTTTTTGTTGAAAACAAAGAGAAAACTTCTGAAAAGAAGAGGAGGAGGAAAGCATGGCGGAGGCGGGCTCTAATGCCAGTGAAGCGGCAGGGGCTCCTCAAGCTTAAGAACAGCCTGAGCAGCCGGGCGGCGGCGGCGGTGGTGGCACACGCCTGTAATCCCAGCACTCGGGAGGCAGAACCAGGCGGATCTCTGTGAGTTCAAGGCCAGCCTGGGCTACAGCAAAACCATGCCTTAAAATTAACAACAAGGGTACACTAAAAGAGAGAGAAAAAGGCTAGCCAAGCATAGTGGCACGCACTTGTGATCCTAACACTGGGAGGCAGAGGCAGAAGAATCATGTGTTTTAGACCTGTCTGGACTACACAGGGAGACATTTTCTTCAAAAACCTAAATAAACAAATGAATATGTGAATAAATAAATAAAAATAATCAAAAGGCAAATGAACTAGTAGTAGTACATGCCTATAATCTTAGTAATTGGGAGGCAGAAGCAGGAAGTTCAGGAGTTCAAGTTCATCCCCAACTATGTGGATAGTTCAAGGCCATCCTGTGTCATAAAATCAGAGAAGGGAGGGGAGAGGGAAAGGGAGGGGGGGGGAGTAGGGAAGGTGGGAGGTAGGTGGGAGCCCAAGGGGTGGGGGGGGGGGAAGGAAGGGGGAAGGAAGGAAAGGGCAGAGAGGAAGGTAGGGAGAGAAGGGAGAGAGAAGGGGAGGGGGAGAGAGAGCAAAACAAAATTATAAAGCATACATTAGTAGAAAATAGCTGCCTATCAATATCCAACAGACTTAGATCCAGAATATACAAAGAAAGCTCAACCAACAAATGAACAATCCCATTTAAAATGTAAAAATGAGCAAACCAGTAAACAAGCACTTCCCAAGAAAAATATACAGATGGTAAGTGTACGCAGGAAGATATTAAACTTCCTTAGCCATTAGAAAGATACAAATTGCCAGCTGTGGTGGCGCACAGCTTTAATTCCAGCACTGGGGAGGCAGAGGCAGGAGGATCTCTGAGTTCAAGGCCAACATGGTCTATGCGTGGAGTTACAGGACAGCCAGAGCCACATAAGGAGGTCCTGTTTCAACATGATGTGTGTCTGTGAGAGAGAGAGAGAGAGAGAGAGAGAGAGAGAGAGAGAGAGAGAGAGAGAGAGAGAGAGAGAGAGAGAGAGAGGGAGGAACCAGTTGGAACAGGAGAGATGACTCAGCAGTTAAGAGCACTGGCTGCTCTTCTACAGTGGACCTGGATTCCATTCCCAGCACCCACATGGAGGCTCACATGGATCTCTCAGTTCCAGGAAATCTAACAAGCACCCCCTTCTGGTTCCCATGGGCACTGCACACACATGGTACACAGACACACATGCAGGTAAAAGACACACAAGTTAAAAGTTTTAAAATCTAAAAAAAATTTAAAAATAAGTAAACAAACCAATGGGTTACCATTAACTGTAGGTAAGTAAAGGGTGATGATAATAATAATAATAAATAATAATAATAATAATAATAATAATAATAATAATAAAAACCAAGGCACCGGAGAGATGGCTCAGCGGATGAAGGTGCCTGGGTCCCATCCCCAGACGTCAGATGAAGGTAGAAAGAGAGGTGCTGTCACAAAGCTGCCCCTCTGGCATCCACAGGAGCACTATGGCATCGTGCCAATACACACACACACAATACTCAATGTAAATGAATACACAAGCCGGACAGTAACAAATACTGACGGAAATGCAAGACAACTGGGTCTCAGTGAATCGGCAGTAAACATGCCAAGTGGTACAACCAGTGTAGAAAAGGACTGGGGTTTTGGTGTGGTGTGGTGAGGTGTGGTGAGGTGTGGTGTGGTGAGGTGTGGTGAGGTGAGGTGTGGTGTGGTGTGGTGTGGTGAGGTGAGGTGAGGTGTGGTGTGGTGTGGTGAGGTGTGGTGTGGTGAGGTGTGGTGAGGTGAGGTGTGGTGTGGTGTGGTGAGGTGTGGTGTGGTGAGGTGTGGTGTGGTGAGGTGTGGTGTGGTGTGGTGTGGTGAGGTGTGGTG